CCCCCCCCCACCTCAGCCCCCCGGAGCCTGGGTGAGAACTAATTTCCCCGTCAATTATTCAGCAGCTGTTTGTTTAATGCCTTCTTGATAGAGTGTACCTAATCCGCTGCCACTCTGACCAGGAGGAGGAACAAAGCAAACATCGAGCAAGAAACTGCTTTAGGTGGAAAAAGTATCAAAGAAAATGTTATATATATTATATTAAGCATGGATTGGCTGCATGAAAGAGGAGGGGGCCAGTATGTACATACATTTTAGTGGAGGTTCTTACGGTACGTCAAATTCAAGGCCTACGTTTTTTTTGTACATTTAAATTTGTTGTAAATACTTTATTTAATCTTTAGTAAATATCTTTATTGATTTTCTCCGTTTTCTTTACTCTTTCTCAATGTTAAATATTTTTTTTGTAACATATATTTTATTTTAATTGTTATATTTTGAACGTATTTCTTATGTTGTTTATGTTTGCACTTCCATACACCAAAGCAACATTCCTTGTATGTGTAAACGTACCCGGACATTCTGATTCAGATTTTTTAAAAGATAGAATATCTACTCCTGCTTCACACGCTATTTTCCAGAAACACTCCAGAGGTGTACAGGAAGAGGAAAGGTGGAGGAAGAAGAGAGGGGAAACACAAACAGGAAGTGAGCCTGTAATGGTGCAGACAAGCTCCCAGACATGGCTGACACACCTATTTAAACCCACAGCAGGGGTGTGTGTGTGTGTGTGTGTGTGTGTGTGTGTGTGTGTGTGTGTTTCAGAGATCACACCTCACTCTCTGTTTAAGACACAGACACGCGCCTCAGTTCTGTGAAACGTCTTTGAACAAGGTCAGCGGCAGACGGGAGGAGAACAGTTGAGCGTGTGAAAATAACAAAAGGTGGAGGAAGATGGAGGGCTGCCCCCCCCTCTTTCTTTCCCCCTAAATCCCCATGGAGGAGTTGCTCCCCGCGGCGGGACAAAAGCCTGACAACCAGACGTGCCACACCTCAGATTAGATTCTGAACCCGGACTCAAAAACACTCTGCACACTGCATGTTAACACTTATGGAGATTTAGAAATCTGCAAAAAATACTATCAATCTTTCACATGTACCTTTTAAAAAAAATTGTAATAGCTTCATTGAACGCCATTGAAAGTATAAGTGATACTTTGTTTTTTTTTGGCGCCCCCTGTTGGTTATTTTCTGAATATATCTTTTCAAATAATTATACAAAAATAAATGTTATCTGCTATCCCCATCTTATTTATTTCACCCATGTTTCAGTCTTGCTCAGTAAGAGTCTCTCATTTTGTTTTGTCCGTTTGGCAGATTTCTAGATATAAAAAATCACGGGCTGTCAGATTTTAACATGTTCCCCGGCTCTTCCATTTGATTGCCTTCCGATGCACAAAAGAGGGAATATGTTATTTAATCGTGCAGTAGAAAGGAATGCATGGCATGACAGCACCTTCATTTCAAAATGTAAACAGTCCAAGTATTGGTAAATGCTAAAAGAACTGTCTCATTAGAGGAAATAACCGAAAAAAACAAGACTATTTCAAAAGTATGAGGAGGATGGAAGCCTTTCATATCTGCCTACATGTTTGTATGTTTGCTTACATAGCCTAGCCACATGTTTGTGTAGTTAATTCAATGCACTTCATTTTGTTATGTCTTCTGGATGTTTGTGTACTTTCTTATATATTGTCTATATATGCTAAAAACAATAAAGAAAGTGTTTTAAAAAAAATGAATGCGTGCAACTGATCAGTGTAAAATAATGTATAAAATGTTTCATTTCATTCAGTATCCGTGGGGCTAAAGTAACAACAATCATTTGGGTTTGGACATCTCGATTAGCTCCAAAATATCGGTTATGAATGATTTTAAAACAAACTATTTCAGCTCCCCCTCCCTCCCGTAGATCCAGGTCCTCTTCAGTGAATCCCCCTTCACACCGGACTACCTTTTTGACGTCCCCCCTCCCTCTATTCGGCCCTCTAAGAGAAGAGAGCATCTGACGCTGACTCTCCTCAGGGACACGCCGCCTCCTCTCAACTCTCTCTGAGTAGGATAGGACCCGAGGGTGCAGGTGAGGAAGAACTAGCTGGATGAAGACTTACCTCACCCTCACATAAAACCTGACAGTACTCACATGCATCAGGGAGTAGTAGGCCTGTTTGCCGGTGTAGAACAGGAAGTGGAACGGCCGTCCGTCCGCCCCCCACTGCACAGCTTCAATACAAGACAGACAAGCAGTTAGAATGTATTCAAATATTCATATTAGAAAAGAAAGAAATGACAGTTAACATACCTTTCTGCCTGGGGAAGATTTCCTCTGGATGCTGGAAATAAAGCGGCAGATATTGTGTCATATTGTGGAGACTTAAAAACACACGTTTGTTTGGTACAGACCCTCTTATGAATCAAAAAGGATCAATCCCAACAATGTAGTTATTCATTATGCAATTACAGTATCAGTCAAAATAATCAGTTACTTATTTTTGGCCAAGTCGTGCAGCCCTACTAAATACAGTGGGGCAAAAAAGTATTTATTCAGCCACCAATTGTGCAAGTTCTCCCACTTAAAAAGATGAGAGAGGCCTGTCATTTTCATCCTAGGTATACCTCAACTATGAGAGACAAAATGAGAAAAAAAAAATCCAGGAAAATCACATTGTCTGATTTTTAAAGAATTTATTTGCAAATGATGGTGGAAAATAAGTATTTGGTCAATATCAAAAGTTCATCTCAATACTTTGTTATATACCCTTTGTTGGCAATGACAGAGGTCAAACGTTTTCTGTAAGTCTTCACAAGGTTTTCACACACTCCGTTGGCGCCCCTCCAAGACAATGGTAGGGGAAACACTGAGAATATATTGTAACAGGAAGTGCCCTTTTCTCCTCCTGTCAGGTGGAGAATATAGAAAACCCTCTGGGGTCGTACGGCAGAGTGGAAGCAGACAATGGCGTCCACATGCGGGTAAGAGTTTCTTTACTTTACTTTTCTAAATATTACCTTTCCAGGTTAACCAGCGCAGTCTAACACATGTTTGTTCAGATTGTAATACAGGGTCAAGAAAACAGGTCAGCCCGAGCCACACACGTAGGAGAGAAATCTTTCCGCTGCGAGTACGACGGCTGTGGGAAGCTCTACACCACCGCCCACCATCTCAAGGTGAGAGTGTGTGTTCCGTTGTTGTGTGTGAGATCGTTCAAAGATGGTATTTCCCTTACAGCATCTTCCTATGATGTTGTTTCTCAGCCCTCCTGCTACACAGTTGTGTTTCTTTGTCCTGCAGGTACATGAACGATCACACACTGGAGACAAACCGTACATCTGTGACTATCCTGGCTGCGGGAAGAAGTTTGCAACAGGTAACTGTGGAGACTAAACGTGTGCTCACTGAACTGTCTCATTGTCCTTTTGCTCGTATGCATTTTCGATGTTGTTGACTCTGTACTTACATCATCCGAACCGAACCGAAGGGCCCGTAGCGAATAATTTCGGTACGGGTACGTATACCGTTACACCCCTAATAGATGACCAAACCGTTTGAGTGAAATTACGCTCATGATTACATTTCGCTAAAGAGGTTGATTTTGCAGTTTGATTGTTTTCAGAAGAATTCAGGAGAAACTACTGGTGTTTTTAAAGAAACTTGGTGTACGGGTATAGCAGGGTAACATATCCAAATCACAGGTCTGATACAACAATTATTCTTCACCTTTTATTAACATTGGAAAACACTCAATTTGGCCTTGGTAGATATCTGCCCTTCTAGTTGATTACTGTGGACTAACGCTGTGATTTCACACCTAAAGAATAATGCTATAAACAAAAGAATGACCTGACAAAATGGATAGTTTTAACATAAAATAAAGTATCAAGTGCTCTTATCAGCACGTGTGTATTAAGCAGGAATAAGGGCTTTGAACTGAATGTGAATGCCACTTCATTTCTGTTTTTATTTATATTCCTAGGATATGGACTGAAGAGTCACTCACGCACACACACGGGGGAGAAGCCGTACAGATGTCAAGAGCTGAACTGCTGCAAGTCCTTCAAAACCTCCGGAGACCTTCAGAAACACACACGGACTCACACAGGTACATCACCAAAGTCTGATATCATCGTATTACACCGTATGCTTAAAAAAGTGTGTTTGAATGTTCTTTTATGGGTCAGGAGTTGCGTGTGGTTTAATTGCGGATTGCTTTAGCTGCGAGCTGAAATTAAAAACTTCTACCTTAAGGCTGTTTTTTTAACAAAGAAGCAACTGAGGGTTTGCAACTGAAGTTATGTCAAAACAAAGACAAGAGTCATGCACAGCTGTTTTATGAAAGAACACAGATGTTGAAAAAACATTTTGCCCTAAAACTAGTGCTGGAGGAGTTTTCAGGCACACGGTCATCATGAGCAGCATGACTCTGAGGATTTTTAAAGTTTAAATCTCATTGGTTGAGGGATGGACTGTTTTCTCTACAAAAACAATTTCTTTTATTTTTTTAAACCCAACTCGCTGTCAATTTAAAATGTAATCTATTCCCCCTTTTTTCACTTAAATCCTGTAGTTAAGAGACACAGTAACTAATGTTTTTAAATAGTTTAATTCACAATTCCCAACATCATATCTGCATCTCACAGCAGACAGAGGGCATTGGAGTTAGCTACTTTTATGTATTAAATAATCACCATAAAAACATACAATTAAAGTGGCAGTGGCTCAGTCAGTAGGGGCTTGGACTGGGAGCTGTAGGGTCGCCGGTTCAAGTCCCCAACCAGACCTAAATATGGAGTGTAGACTGCTACTTGGAGAGGTCCCAGTTCACCTCCTGCCCTGCCGTGGTGGCCTTGAGCAAGGCACCGGACACCCCCCTTCCCCCCCCACTCCCATTGCTCCGTGGGCGCTGTGCAATAGCTGCCCACTGCTCCTAGCACTAGACTCCTGGTACTAGGATGGGTTAAAAGCAGAGAACACATTTCACTGGGTGTGTTGTGTGCTCTGCATGTGAGACCATTAAAGAGGGTTTCATGCCTCCTAATTAAACAAAAACATAAAGTGATTGCTGTGGAAATAAAGGAAATCTTAATTTGCATAAAAGCACGAGTTTGGACACTTTAAGTAGGTGATTTTTGACCTTGAAGTGCTTGAATTGTGCTCAAATGTTACTCTCAAAAAGCTGCAGATCACCTGTGTGCAGAATAAAACAATGGTGGCTTACCCCTTAATCTCGGACATCCCATTTCTTGTGTGCAGGAGAGAAGCCTTTCAAATGTCCGATGGACGGCTGCGGCCGGTCGTTTACAACGTCCAACATCCGCAAAGTTCACATCCGAACGCACACCGGGGAGCGGCCGTACTACTGCTCCGAGCCCACCTGCGGACGCTCGTTCGCCAGCGCCACCAACTACAAAAACCACGTGAGGATACACACTGGTGAGTGTCTCTAACAACTTAAACACAAGTGTGCCAGTTGTATTTTTTTTTAAAGGTCACCTATCATGCTATTTTTAGGCAATAGCATAGGTCTCAGATATATACAAATATATAAAAAACATGTCTATGAAGTGTTTTGCTCAAAATAAGAAACAGATCACCCATTCTAGCCATGCCTCATATCCCTCTATTTCACTTCCTGTTTCAAAAGTGCTGATTTTATATATAAAGCTTAAAAAACAAAACAACATTTTATAAAAAATAAAAAAAGGAGGGAGCTGAGCTACTTGCTAAACTAAATACTGCCGTGATGAAACGCCATATCATGGATTATCAAGGATTATCTCTGAAACAGTATGGAGCTCAAAGGCTTTCTCTCTTGCCGGTTATACCACAAGGTGAGTTCCTTTTTATTTCCTGCTTCTTCACACACATGCTCTCCAG